TATTTTTAAACGGTGCCATCTTAAAGAGCACAAAATTCTGAGCAAAATGACGAGTCGTCAAGTTTTCTACGAACTTCTCATAAAAAGTTACAAGCATCACAAAAATCATGAATAAGGCGTTTTTAGTCGATTTTTAAAAAAATTTCTTTTTTTCATGATTTTTGTGATGCTTGTAACTTTTTATGAGAAGTTCGTAGAAAACTTGACGACTCGTCATTTTGCTCAGAATTTTGTGCTCTTTAAGATGGCACCGTTTAAAAATAGCTATGGCAAAACCTTCTAGAACCTGAAAATACCGTGTTCGGTATTTTAGGAGCCTTGTCATCATTGTTCATCTGTGAAATCTTGCTATAAAATGTATTGGATAGAAAATTCCATTGACTATTAAAATCACTATTTAGATTGGAACTACGTGCTTAACATTATGAAAAAACCAAAACAAATCGTTGTTTCTAAACTTTTTTCCATCACCTTATATACTTTGACATCTGATAAGATAAGTCGATCTGAATCTATTGATATATAAATGAGGAAAATTGGCTCGGTCACAACACTTCGAGTGGAGCTAATGCAACCCTATGAACTACGACTCAGCAAACAAATATCAAGTCATCGATATATACATATATCAATAACTACAAACGAATACAATAAAGAAAAACGAAAAAAAACCAGCACGGAAACCTAAGGGTGATACAGATGCAGTTCTTTGACAGCTTTAGAAGCTAATTGAAAATCTAGAGAAGTTTTAAGGAATCCAAAAGAATGTCATGGAATCCTGCGGAATCCTACGGAATCCTTGGAATCCGAAAGAATCATAGGGAATATTTGGAATCCAGAGGAATTCAGGTTTCCAGGATTCTGTTTTTTCTCCCTTGCGTTTATGTCATTTGGGTTAATGCAAGTGGCAGTACAAAATATCCTAATGACTATGCTTGTTGGAAAGATCAAGGCATGAAGTTTTTTTTAATCATTATTAATTTAACAAAATTTTGTTGTTTTTAATCCTGATTTTGGATATACAAAGCAGATTTGATTCACTTTTATTTTCATGTAAGTTTCTCTTGATATAGTTTTGATAATTATCGTTGCACTATGCTTGCGTGTTTTTGATTAATGACACAATGTTATTGGAAAAATCTTCTTCAATTAGTCAAAGAAAAAAACATGAATTCTATAAATTATTATTATTATTATATTTTAATCTAGATACTGTCGGCGGCCGGTCGTTATCATTGTTTATATTTTGTTGCTGTCATATTTTTTTTGATTCATTTTATTTGGTTAATTTAATCTAAGCTATTGTCTCGATGCCTTACCCAGAACAACAAAAAAAAGTTGAAGCTGAAAATGAAGAACCTGAAAGACCTAAAATTAACAATGAACTTGAAATAAAAGAATAAGAAAGCATGAAAAGTTTCACTATGTTTTGGAGATCTAAGTCGTATGAGTTCACACTTTAGTGTTTCTATTGAATATGAACAAAATAAAAAAGTATATTATACAATTTTTTTTTGTTTCTTAAAATAAAAGAAAGTTTTTAGAAAAATGAATTAAACAACATACGATCATCTTAACCATCACCATCAATGTTTCAAATTGATAAGTCAAGTGTACTTCTGTCTAATGTAACGACAACTGATGCTACAACAATACCATTTTTTGATGAAACACAACAAAATCCAGCAAATGTAGATAGCAACAATCATCCAATAAGTGGTTTTTCTAATTTATTAGAACAAAATCAAAAAGACAATGATTTAATAATTACAGTAAAAAAAGAACATAATTTTTATTGTTTTTATTTTAAACTTATTTTAAAGCTTGATCAAGCCAAATCTTATGTAAAATGTACTCCAATTACCGAGGGTGTGGGTGTGGGTGTGGGTGTGAGTGTGGTTGTGGGTGCGCGTGGGTGTGGGGCTGGTAAAAGAGAAACAACACCCACACCCACACCACCCACCCCACACCCACACCCACACCCACACCACACCCACACCCCACACCCACACCCACACCCCACACCCACACCCACACCCTCCTAATACATAAGTGTAATATGTTAAATGTAATTTGTATCCCTTTTTACTATAAGAATTCCATGAAATTCGGGAGACTTTCTTCATTCGTACATTCTTAGCTAATGGGGAGGATACATTTCTTGAATATTTTTACTATATAATAGAATAAATTTGGCAAAGTTTCGCCTCGATTCTTTTTATTTTCAACACCCAACAAAAATTACATAAACTTACTGCAAACGGAATGATTGGCTCTATCGAAACACTTCATCCACTATTATTTTTTCTTCAACAAATTGGATTGGAAATATGTATTCTCGACTTTCGCCTGTTTTGGTGAAGACTCGTCAGAATTTAAGTCGTAGCATATACATATATATATATATACTAGACAGTTAGGTATAGTTCAGTCACACCAAGAAAAAAACAGATAATGATCCTTAGTACTTATGATTCGATGAGAATTGACGACTACAGATTTGATAAATGGAGAGCGAATTATGATAAATTTATTTTGGGGATGAATCAAAGACCAAATTTCAATTACATATATTACTTACTTGCTTTTGTTGAAAACGGAACGATTTGTCGTTAGACGTTTGTCTGTGAACGTCAAAATGAAGATGGCTAAAAAAAATAAAATTCTTTCTTCTTGAGAGTGTGGGTGTGAAACATATCTAAAGCACAAGAAATTTTGGACTGATGACAGTATTTACAATCTTTTTCTTAATATAAAACTTGAATAAAATTCTTAAATAGTTAAACGAAAGTCAACATTTCTAGTCTCGTTTCTATGTCATCTTGGAAATTTTCGATGAAGAGTTAATTGAAGTCAAATATACAGGACGCTTCAATAGTTTTTGATCATTTAAGAAATTGAGAACTTAAGAAAGATGACTATTTAGAATAATTATCAGAGATAGAAACGATATACAGCAAAATTACCAAAGTTTATTCCTAT